TTATAAATCACATATTTTGGTAATTAGCCCGTGGCTGTATTTTTCATTTATGTTGACAGCGTGTTTTTAGCCACAACACATAAACTTGAAGGCCCAGGAAAAATTAAACAAGTAAAAATGAATAATCGGCGGGTATAAAAGCCATTTTCCTCCGACGAGCCTTCGGAAAATACTTATAATTCATCCCGGAGAATTAATCTTCAAAACCATTATTTCAACACAGCTTGAATCCACCATTAGTGTCGAAATAGCGTGTTCTTAATCTTCTGTTCTCAAATGTGTTTACAAGATTACAGCCTTAATAAGACGCCACAGGTTTAATATTTACACAGATTTTTTATCACTGTGTGATGTTGAGAGAGAGAGAAAAAAAAAATTCATATTCAAAATTTCAATCATCAAGCCTGGTTGCGGCTGAATATTGATAATTTAATCACACTAAAGACTAAAAATCAATTTGATTTGAATCCCTGTTTGTAGATTACCTTTTTATTTCATGTCATTTTGCGGCAGTAACTGTAATTGTAATGGTTTTCATTTGAGGCGTCGGCTTCACTTTAACACACATTAGTTGCTTAATCTAGAAAATGAGTAAACAGACAAAATTGAAGCGGATGCTATCTGTGACAGAGGGCGACATGATTGGCTGGAAACATTTTCCACATAATTACCCTGTTGTCCACCGCCCAGAAAGAAAATTCACTTTTTTTTTTCAGCTTTTTTGCCAACTTTCACCAAACCGTCTGTCAACTGTCATCATTCATTCGATTTTAACCAGGTTTAAAACGTTGTCCAATGTAGGGAGATGTTAGTTTTCTCTGCAGATAAGTGTAGTCAAATACAATTTTTTTTTAAAAAATAACCCCCTGGACCACGTGTTGCCTTATGGCCGCACCTGTGTAAGGCAACAGTAAATTAAAACGTAAATAAATAGTTTAGTCAATAGGGCTTTTATTTTGAAATAGCTTTGAAACTTTCTTAAAACGGGAAACGTGAGGGTTTTTTTCTTTTAATTTAATTTAATTTAATTTCCTAAACATGTTTTTTCTCTAAATGTAACCTTCCTCCCCCCGGTTTGGTTGCACCTGTCCGCCTGAATAGCAAATTAAAACCAGGAATAAACACGTAAATCGCGCCTTTGCTTTTATTTTGAAAGGAATTTTAAAAGCGTTTAATGCGTGTGCACGTGCGCGCGCGAGCTACAGGTGACGCTGAGACGTTAGCCGTTAGAGCTATCGCTAGGTTTGTTAAAATAATACAGAATAGTTAGTTTTTCGCGTGTCAAAATAGTAACGTCGATGTGGATTTTGTGCCGCTGCGACACTGGATTATTGGCTACATCAACACCACGTGACCAAACTGACGGAGAAAATGGAGTCGGACGTTTTGCTCGTTAAACGGAAGAACCAACATCTAACCAGGTAAAATTACAATTTAAATTTTTTTGTTGTTGAAAAAGTCTGTTGTTAATTAATTTTTTAAATCTTTAACGTCCAAACACCTTTCATTATTAATTCGTGAAATTAGCATTTAAAATAAAATTAAAAAACTGTAATGTTTGTTTTTTGTATTTATCACTGTGTGAGTCAAACAGTCATACAAAGATTAGAGACTAGACTAAATCGTTAGTTATGTAAATAATAAAAACAACATTTTTGACACAGAGTCTCAACTTTAGTCTTAACTGTTTTTGTTTTGTTTTTTGGACACACTGCGTTTCAGTTAGAAAATTCCGGTCTTTGACCAGAGCTGCGTCTTTGTCTGGTCGAAGGCCAGAATTCGTCTTCCATTTAAATATTATTTCTGTTTTGAAATTAAGTTAAAAAAAAAAACCCACTCTGTTGAAGACAGATAAATAAGTTTAAGATATTTTTGATTGGAACAAAATATTTGTCAGTTTGCAGGACTATAAACCTTTTGTCACACATTGACAGTCATGATTTTAATGGATATTTATCTGAGCTTTTTGTCCCCCTTTTTCTCAGACCAATTATTTTAACCAGGATTTATTTTTAGGTGAATGTGAGAAATAAAACAGCCACAAGACTTTCTGTGAAGTACAGGAAAGTACTAGTTTTTATTCCTTCATAATCAAACTTCACAAACAGCTTGAACTTGTACAATACCTCAGAGAGTGAAAATTACAAAAAAAGTGCTGGTAACATTTACAAAAATCATCCTTACTTAGCAACAATCAGTTTATTCTTCCACACTTTTTTTAGTCTTTTGTATTAAGGCTTAATACTTCTGTATAAAGTATATGCAAGATAAGTCTTCACAGTTTTTCGAAAAAAGTCACAATATTATGTAACATAATGAAGCTTTTACGGCTATTTTTCTTTATAATAACAAATACACATCACTGGTAAATATATGTGAAATACAGGGCTTATTGTAAAATGGTAAGTAATGATACTGTTTGCTGAGATAAATTGATTCCACACACTGTTATAGGAAACATACCATTGCTATAACTGAAGGAAAACAAAAAAAAAAAAAAAAATGAAGTAAATGATACGAGCATAAACACGTGGGAGATCGCCTCCAAACTTTGGCACATCCCATGAAACAATTTCAGGAAATATGAGATTAAATTTAGTTTGAAAATCATACATATGGAAGAATAGTTGAACTGGCATAAAGTGAAAACATGCTGTGTAGTAAGGTGCTAAATCAGAGATATTACGTTGCCAGACTCTTTTTTTTTTCTTTTTTTATTCCTTTCTTTCTTCCCCCACATGGACTGTCATGAATAAGGTGCATTTGTAAGACTCAAAGCATGTAGGCTCTTTCTATTTTTTTTTTTTTTTAAGTTTTCCTTTTTCGATGTCAAATGCAAATGGACTTAATTTTGACCAATAGTCTTGAGGCGACCTCGTATACTCATGCATTCCCATGGATGGCGAGAAAATAATTTCTCCAAAGCGGTTGTGTAACTCTCTAACTGTGGTTTGTGAAAAGTAAAAGCTGTATTGTTTTCATGGTATGTGTAATTTGATTTTTTTCCTGTTTTTTTTATGTTCTTTTTTTTTTATTATTTATTTTGAAACTGTTGAAGTTGTGACAAACATGATAAGTAAGGAGAGATGGACTAGGAAAAACAAAAAAAAAAAAATTGTTTTTAAAAAGAAATTTAAAAACTGAACGCGAAACTAAGCCGAGATATATTCACAAGATCCTCTAAGCTGCACTGGTTTTACAGGTCAAACAGATGAGAGCTCTAGCCCTAGACTTACCAATTTCACCCTCATGCATACTGTACGGTTAAAGTGACGCAACAAGCTTGCTTAAATAGTCTACATCACAAAAAAGCAATTTGGTTTTTAGTGCAAACACAATTGGCTGGCTTCAGCTTCTCAATAATAACAAGCTCACCAAGGAGATTACAAGAAGGCACATACTTATGCTTCCTCTAACACGCAACATATTTAGACAAACCGCAACATTGTTCAACAACGCCACAAAGCGGTGAAAACGGGAAAAAGCCACTACATCCAGAGAATTAAAAAAAACAAAAACGGGTGGATTATTTTTGTGAATCGCTGAAACATTTACACGGATCCCGTCGACCGAGTGGGGGTCCCAACGTAGAGTAATGGATG